CGGAAAAGCCCCGCCTCCATCCGCTTCATTTCAAGAATATCGAACAACAGAGTCTGTATTTACCTGGATTCCAAAGACACCGTCACCAAGATAGTAAGCAATCACAGCCATATGACAATAAATAACAACACAGTGAACGTGAAACGATTAATTACTCCATCTCAACGGATAATACTCTCTAATGTCTCGCCAACGATTCCTCATGACACGATTGAACAAGTTTTTAAACACAACAAAATTAGAATCACTTCCAAAATAAACTTTTTGAGAGCCGGTATCCATGAACCTGGCTACACACATATACTAAGCTTCAGACGACAATTATACGTACATCCTGAGGACACAAGCAGGATTCCGGAGTCTTTCACCATAACATATGTGTTAGAATGTGGAGGGCTCAAACACTGATTTGAGAACCTCGTCTAACGGGGGTCCGGATCACGAGGGAATAGGAGGATGGAAAAGTAATTGTCACACGTTATATATAATTTCACGTCGTCGAAAGAGTTTCGACGACGTCGTTTATTGTGGACCTTTAAATGCGAACAGCCTGTCTTAATTAGATTATACGCGACAAAAACCTCGCCTGTCTGACTGGCGTCTGGCGTGTGCTCGCGTCACGCTGTTCTGAAACAAAAGAGACGGAACGAGATGTAAATATACGGTAACGTTTGTCACTCTCTCCGTCTCGTTTTAATGTTCACGCGCTCCTGGTTGTGCTTGTCGCACTCAGGAGCGGGAAACTCAGCCGCCGCGTTACGCAGCTAAGCTAGTGGACTGTATATGTTTGTGTGCGTTCCCTTTAAACCGGGAAACAGCTGATTGCAGTTTTGGGGAAGACGAGATTCAACCTCGTTTCTTTCCCGACTGCAGGTTTCGACTATCGTAGGAGAGGGTAACGGGTGGAGGTTGTAAGGCTGCAACCGTACCCGCTCCTCGGCCCTTTTTTACCACCTTATTGCGTGCGTACGGGCACGGTGTGATGCAGGTGTGCCAACGGCGCCCTTGGGTCGACTTACGATTGGGCCTGACACCACGTAGCTTGATGAATTAACGTCCTACGCACAGTGACCGTACTAGACTGGCGATCTTTGGAGGTATTCTGCTGTTCGTCGTAAGCTGGGAGTGAAAGTTGTCCCACACTTCGACTAGAAGGTGGTAAATCCACCCAGGGTATTTTATACACCCCTGGATTGTGGGTTCCGAACCGTTTGATATACAAGAGAGGTACGAGAGTCAACCTCGATACCTTAAACACGACCTCTGATTGCAGCGATCCGTGTTTCTCTTTTACTTTTTATTTTTCAGACCAAGGTGGGTCGTAGCCACTGCTGAATACTTCGGACACGACCTCTGATTACAGCGATACGTGTCTGTATTCAGGCTGAGGTGGATCGTACCCACTGCTGAATTCGAAATCTCGGATTATAACCTGCGAGATCTTTACAGTCTTTGGATCAGGTCGTGTTCCGACCTAATCTGTTTAATTGGTAAACGGCTTACGGAAGTTCACGGGATGGGATTGTTTTACAACCCGTTCCGTATTGAACGTCCTGCGGAGGTTCACGGGATGGGGTTGTTTTCAACCCGTTCCGTATTGAACGTCCTATGCAAGTTCACGGTATAGGATTGTTTTCCAATCCGTTCCGTATTGAACTTGTTGTTCACGTTTACGGCTCTTTTAAGTAGTAAACGGGTTGTGGAAGTTCACGGTATAGGATTGTTCTACAATCCGTTCCGTATTTGAACTTCCTGTCCACGTTTACGACTCTTTGATTTTAAATTGTAAACGGGTTTTGCGGAAGTATTGACGGTACCGGATGGATTCCCAATCCGTTCTCGTACTGCACTTCCAACCCACGTTTACAATTTCGTCGAAAGTTCGAGTGACTCGAAACTATTCGAACGTCTTGGAAATTACGGGGGAGCGGGATCGTATGCCCATCTGCTCACTGCCGGTTCCAAGTTAAGAGTGACGATCCAGCACGGTTAGTCAAATTCGGAGGGGAGAATCTCCGACTAGCGGCGCTGTAGACGAATTTGAATTCGTCTTTGTCCAACTTATTATTGTCGTACCTTCTCTTTATACACGCGCCGAAACGTTAGCTCGAAATCACGCGTAGTTTCGTCGATCGCGTGATGTTTCGAAGAAATCCGTATGTGACAGTTTTTATAACCTGTCTTGTTTTCGCGTAGCGGACACGAGAGTCGAACAGTCTCGAGTCGGTTACATACGCAGAAAACAATACCGGGTGACGAATAATATTCTACTATTCTTATATGCTTCGAATTAACGCGATATTTAAACAATATGAGAATACAACATACAGAATCTTCTCCACAACCGACAAACTCAGCTGTTTCCGCTGTAACCAAACAGGTCACGTAGCTAAACAATGCCCGAAGAAAGACGAAGACAACATTACCGCCGATAACATCGACTATCTTTCTCAATTACACACACAAACAGATCCAGAATCTACATCACAACCAATAAGTATACCTACCACCACCACTGCTCCCCAGCCAGAAGAGGCAAAGCCGTTACTAGTAAACAGTATCTCGAACCCAGGTAACAAAAGAGCACATACATTATCCACAGTCAGTCTAAAAGAAATCCTCATTACCGATACTATATCAAATCAAGCCATACTAACGCAAACTACCCCACACACTCAGGAAGTCCCATCAAGCAGAAAAAAAGTACCAAACGTATCAAATTAATAGATAAAATGACCAATAAGATCGAAAATATGCTCGAACCAGCAAAAGCCAAAATTAACGATCCCAAATGAAACTACCCACTGAACTATAATCAATTAATCATTCTCATGGAAAATACACTTGGCGTTGAAAACCCCTATAGCATGGCATTAGACTTCACACAAAATATACCAGGTTTAATAGAGATGTTAACAGAAATTTATCCTCACCTGAAGGAAAGAAGCATAAAAAATAGAATCCACAGATTAACAAAAAAACTCAAATACAAACTGGCTGAACTACCATTAACATCCTCAGAAAATTCATCAGTTAGTTGCACCCCGGCAACATCAGATAACGAAACTGAAAATGAAACTGCTACACACATCAATCCATCATTCCCAACATAACACAAACCTCTAATTAACTTACTAAACCTACCCGTACACAAAACCAAATACCACTAAATTAAAATGTTCACAATCTTACAATGGCACTTAAACGGATTCTCCCTCCGACTACCATATCTACAACTTCTCTTGAAGAAATACCAACCAGACGTAATCTGCCTTCAAGAAACTCATCTCAAACCCAACCAAACAATTCGAATTAAGAATTTCACTACGTTTGTCCACAACAGGAATGCAGAAACCGCTAGCGGAGGAGTAGCCATTTTGATAAATAACTCCTTATATAGTGAGCGAATCCCAATCAATTCAAACATGGAAACAATTTCGACCAAAATATATTCATCCACGAAGATACATCTCTGTAACATATATATACCAAACAGTTACCAACTAAACAAATCCGAATTAAGCAATTTAATTAACAACATACCAAAACCATTTATCATTACTGGGGACTTCAACAGCCATAATACACTCTGGGGCTCAACAAGAACTGATTCAAGAGGTAACATTATGGAAAAAATCCTGCTCAACCATAACTTAATACTCCTCAATGACCAAAAACCAACACACTTTAATTCAGCTAATGGCTCTTCTAGCATAATAGACTTAACCTTAAGCAACGCCAACATCGCATACAAATGCAAATGTATTACCACCTCAGACCTGTACGACAGTGACCACTACCCGATTTTATTAAAAGTACAACTAGATCGAACAGTCAACTACCTACAACCAGCCCCCAGATGGAAATTTGAACTGGCCAACTGGAGCAAATATAGTAGATTCATTGAGCTTAACCCCTCTCTAGATAATAATGCCACAACAAACTCTTATGATATTGAACAAATAATAAAAGAATTTATCCAGATCATCATCGATGCTGCTGATCAATCCATCCCAAAAACAAAACCTCGACCCGGAAAAAAGCGCTGCACTGTACCTTGGTGGAACGAGGAATGTGAAACTGCAATAAAAAACTACAAACACGCCTTCAACAGATACAAAAAACAAAAGACAATCGCTAATCTTATACAATTCAAAAAACTTAGAGCTAGTGCAAGGAAGACCATCAAAACGAATAAGAAACAACCCTGGATAAATTTCTTATCTACAATAAATAACTCTACCCCCACCAAGGTAATGTGGAATAAAATAAAAGCAATTCAAGGCGCCCACTCAAGAAAGAATATCACAGCTTTAACTACGCCAGAAAAAACCATAACCAACGACCAGAAAGAAATAGCAAACTTACTAGTTAAAACATTTGCTAAAAACTCTAGTGATAAAAACTACGATAGCAACTTCCTCAAATATAAAACTGAACAAACATTCCCTGAGACCAATAAAACCCCCAAAATTCGAAACCAGGACCTTTTTTTAATCAACGAAGCATTCAAAATTGAAGAATTAAATAGGATACTGAAACAATGTAAAAACACCAGCCCTGGTCCTGACGGAATACCTAACAAACTACTGGTAAACCTCCCCCCAAATGGACTCAAACACCTATTAGAGATATTCAATCTCATATGGAAAAATGGCATATTCCCAGAATCGTGGAATGAGGCTATAATCATCCCGATTGTCAAACCTGGTAAGGACCATCTACTCCCAGAAAGCTATCGACCCATAGCACTAACCAATAACATGTGCAAACTATTAGAAAAAATGATCAACCACAGACTACAATGGGTATTAGAAAATAACAACACAATATCCCACCTTCAAAGCGGTTTTAGAAAGTACCACTCAACCATCGATCAACTAATTAACATAGAGGCTCAAATATGTGACGGCTTAGTAAATAATCACCACACTACTCTTATAGCTATGGACATTGACAAAGCGTATGATATGATTTGCAGAGAGAGGACATTAGATATCTTAAAAAAGCTGGGCTTTCATGGTAACGTCCTTACGTTTATCAAAAACTTCCTGAAGACAAGACGCATTAAAATTAGAACCAACAACTGTCTATTCGACGCTATGATATTGCAAAATGGAGTCCCTCAAGGATCGGTAATAAGTATAACACTATTCCTAGTATCCATAAATGCTGTTCTTTCCGTACCAAACTTACCAGTCCAAGCATATCTTTTCGTGGATGACTTAACGACAATATACAAAGGAAAATATGAAAATACCACAGAACAACTACTCCAAAACGCACTAGACAACCTACAGAATTGGGCAGTAATAAACGGTTTCCGCTTCTCTGAAACTAAAACCAAATATATAACCTTTTCCAAGCGACACATACCTACAATAAAGTTACACCTTGGAAGCACAGAACTGAAACAAGTTAATTCAATCAAGATTTTAAGTATGACATTTGATGATAAACTAACCTGGAATGCCCATATATCCAATTTAAAAAGGGAATGTAACAACCGTCTAAACATTTTAAAGACACTAGCAGCCAATACATGGGGAGCAGACATGAAGGTTCTATTAAACACGTACAAAACTACCATCAGAAGCAAATTAGACTACGGATCTATTATTTATGGCTCAGGAAAGGAATCTACACTAAAAAAACTGGATCCTATACATAACACCGCCCTGAGAATAATAACTGGAGCCTTTAGAACTAGTCCCATACTAAGCATTTTAAAAGAAGCAAACGAACCTCCGCTCAAACACAGAAGAAAACTCCTCTGCATTATACAAGCGATAAAAATATCTACTACCCCAAATAAATCCTCCTTTAAAAATACCTTTTCAGACCGCTACATCACAAAATACAATAATAAAAAACTGACTCCCAAACCTTTTTATTATAGAGTCCACAAACTTGAAGAGGAACTCAATATAACATTTTTCCCTACTATTCCACGAAGAAAAACCGGAATACCACCATGGGTCATGCACCCCATCGAAGTAAACATAGACTTAACAGTATACAAAAAATCTGACACCAATCCTGTAATATTTCGTAACCTAACCACTGAAACTATAGATCGCTACAGAAACTATATCCATATCTATACTGACGGATCAAAAACTGAAACCGGCACGGGATACGCAGTAATCACCCCGGAATCCTCACTTTCAACCAAATTAGCACCATATACATCAATTTTTACGGCTGAAGCAACTGCCATCAACCATGCTATAAAAATCTCCTACATAAACTCTTATACACACACTATTATTTTCACTGATTCAATGAGCACTTTAGAGGCACTAAGCAGCATACCATCGGATAATGACATCCTCCTCCAAATTCAGGAAACAAACCATGAAATCACAGAAAAGGGCCACAAAATAATACTCGCATGGATACCGGGACACGTAGGCATTCCAGGAAATGAAAAAGCCGACCAGATAGCAAAACAAGTAGCCAACTCACCAACTAGCTACCAAAATATTCCCACCCAAGAAGATTTAATTAAAGATATCAGAAATAAGTTAAAATGCCAGTGGGAATCTGAGTGGAGAAACACAGCTCCACCACACATCAAAAACATAGATGACGCCTTTTTTACAGAAAACACAGCAACTATTTTAACTAGAAAAGAGCAAACTGCTATAACCCGAATAAGAATTGGACACTCCAAAATCTCCCACTCATACATATTATCAAAGGAACCCATCCCAATATGCGAACACTGCAACACAACAATTACAACGGACCACCTAATCCTTGACTGCCAAAAATACAACATTCTTCGCCGTAAACACAAGCTGGAACCTCAACTTAAAGAAAACCTCACCAACAGAAAGCTACACAACCTACTGGGATTCATCAAAGAAGCAAAATTAATTGACAAAATATAAGGAAAAACCCACCCGACCGACGCCGCTAATAACCTCGCAGTGGATGCGGCGTAAATAAACCATCAAATAAAAAAAAAAAAAAAAAAAAAAAAAAAAACTTTGAAACTACTTTGTCCTTCCAGTGGGGCCCGTCTGAACGTACGAACGTGTATAATCCGACTCTTCGGAAGAGATTTGAAAATTTTATAGCAAAGTATCCCAGAAAAAAAGTATGAAGATATTGGGTTGATTGAAAAATAATTTCGTTTTTCTTATTCGTGAAAAGGAACAATTTTCTTATAATATATAAATATTTTATTGAATTATGTACTGGCCATGATGGTGCAACACCTTTTGCCATCTTCTTACTCGAATTTTTTTCACGAACGTTCGTAGGATTTCGGGGATAAGTGTATTCACCAAAAATGATTGTAATTCACCCCCGCAATTAAAAATAATTTTTTCAGAATAATTAAAAATTTTTTAATTTCGCCGAAAAATTTCGGCACCTATTCCCTGTCAATTTTTCTTAAAAATTTGTTTTTGGTTTTTAGTAATTTTGTTTGACGCCCCACAGAAAAGTTGTCTAATACTTTTTTGTAGGTATCCATGAATTATACTTCCAAACTCAATTTCAATGAAATCCATTGACTATTGTAGGAGTTATGGATGTTTCAAAATTGAACCACTTTTATGGAGTTTTTTTGCACTTTGCAGAGTTAAAGAACAACTTTTCCAACATTCTTAGAGTTTTGGCATATTCTTCATCAAAATACGCGTCGTTTGCATTTTGAAACATTAAAATTTTCCAATCCGTTCAGGAGTTATGATTTTTTTTTATTAGAATAAAGTTGGCTGGTTAAAAATACTATTAACGTCTCCGTTGGTAAAAAATCGAAACTACTTTCCGAACAACCCAATATTATTAAGAAGTAAAAGAGTTATCCAAGCTTGGAAGGAGAAAATGACTCGTTCGAAGGTTCACCGTAACGAAAGGGAGCCTAACGAACGTTCACGAGGTTTCGAACATCGCTGTATAGCGAGAGAATACAAACGAGGTCGTTTCGAGTAGAATCGGGTGCCATGATTCCGGTCTACGGTGGATAAAGGGCGAAGATTTGAAACGACACGGGACAACCGGGCAAAGAGTCGGGTCAGAAGCGAGAGATAGCTAAAGATTAGATACACGCCGGGCAGAAATGGTAGGTTGAATGATGTGAAAGCACGAGCACGGCGACGGAATCGGGGTGAAAGCCGAAGTTGAAGCCTGAACTGGACCGCCTAATCTGCATTTACATAGCATCCACCGTATCCCACGCAAATAGAATGGCTTTGGAGCGTCGAAGGCGCGGTCATTCCCTTTTCTTTCCGCGAAACACGGTCTACGGGCAGAGGTGTGGCGAGGGGGGAGGGCAGAATAGAAGGGCAAAAAAGCTTTGAGCTTACGACAATACCGCCTTAAGCCGACTTCGAGGAGTTTCGAAAGGAAGAAAACTCTGTCGGTAACAAGGGTGTATTGTCGCGCGCACAAACAGCGAAATCCTTCTTTCGCTGGGACACATGTAGGTCACATAAGATCTTTCTTTCGGGAAACGAGCATATAGCTTTAATCGATTTCCAACAGGAACAATGCTTTGGCGATATTCCGGACGAATATCGATTGGTCAAGGGAGCCAGTCGATCGGAACAATTTTACCATCAATTTTCGCGTCTCGGTCCGATGGGTCCACCGTTAAGTTTCAAATTATAACGTCCGTCTACAGGGGAAATTAGTTACAGTAATGTATACCGCCCTTCGAACGATTAAATTCCTGTCGGAACCCTTTTGTGTAATTATTTTGTGGTGTTACTTCCAGCACATGCTAGCAGAGGGCTACAGTTCTCTCGCAATTGCTCGACCGAAAACTCTGTGGAGCATAACTATAGAGCGGCACAGACATTTTTAAGATTTTTATAGTTGAAAAGGAACATTCGAAGAAAATCGTATAATATGAAGAAGTAAATAATAATCTTTGGTCCTTACGTTTATAATACGTTTAGTATTATAAGACCTTGCAAACTGCAGAATAAATAAAAAGTACTTTAAAGTACCTCTGTGATTTTTTTCACACTAATTGGTAGCATATTAAACTCCATACGCAAATTAATTTTAACTCTTCAAAGTTGCTCAAACCGAAGAAAATAGTCAAAATCAACGATATTAAACAATATATAATAATATTTAATCTTTAATCTTATATATAATCTTTAATCAGATACGAATATTGACTTTGATTCAGATGTAGGTATAATATAATATACATATAATTGATGTAAAAAATATATCTATAGAAAAAATTCAAATAAGTGTTAATTCTTTATCCTTTGACTATATTCTATGTACTCTAGTGATTTATTCGATTTTTTCAAGCATTCTTGTTAAACTGACAAAAAAAATTTCTTAAAAATTTCTTTCTCGCGTAGAATCCATCTCTGAAGCGTGTAATAACTCATATTGCAAACCCAATCGTAGCGAAAATACTGCTGTTGAGAGAGTAGTGCAAGAGGGAAATGGCTGTTATGATGGGCGCACTTTCGAATAGATAAATCTCAAGTTCCAATCTATTAAGCTCAAAAGCGGCGAGCGCAGCTAAGATGGCGGCGAGTTTCGGAAACTTCATCGACCGATTTCTCGTGACCAGGCACGATAAAGAAAGGCATGAAAGGGGTATTACACAGGCTTACGTAGCCGACACTCCCAATTAATGATATCGCGAAGCATTATGGTAACAGGAGTATCATTCGACGTCGATTATTAACGCCCCGTGAACAATTAACTGTTTTCAGAGGGGTGATTACTGCCTACGATCGTCGAAGCCATTCGCTAAATTGAATTTCGCGTAAACGAGCGTTCGCTTAGTATTGATACGACGAAAGAAAATTCCTCAAGCTGATTAAGCTATCGTGACTCCGGCGCGTTTAACTTCAGAGGGTACCTGTCACGCCAGTCGTGACAGCAGATCGAATAGGGTTAATGAAATTAAACGGACGCTGATTAAAAGTCTACTCGATCGTAACGACTCGCTCGGGGGGGGAGGGGCTGAATTAAAAATTAAATAACACGAGCGAATTAGAGTTGTATGAAATATGCAATATCGAACGTTTCCAACACGAACGTACGCAAGTTAAACCTTTAT